TTGTCAGGAACAAGCCAGGAGCCAGAGGAGACCGTCAGCCAGGATCGGGTCATACACAAAATCAGGCTACTAGAGTAGCAGGAAGACCAGGCAAGGTCAGACTGGACCGAATGGTTTATATATAGTGAGTGGTGTGACATCATCACTCAAAGACAGGAAACTCCCATCTGACGTACTCAGATGATGCTCTCCTGTCTGGCCATAAGAGGGAGCCTGTGAGTAGTGAGCAACGTTCCAGACTCTGCTCAAGCAAGGAAGGAAACAGGTGAGTAAAATGGCAGCCAAGCCAAAATACTGCAAACCAGTAAAGTCAGGGTGGAACCCTGACAATCTTTGCCTCTATTACCACAGAACAAACGTTCTCAGAGATTCGCAAGGGGGGCAAATTGTTTATAAATAGACCCCTAAGGGTTCATTGAGACACGTTTTAAAGTTTCACTACACTTGCACTATTTTGCACAGTATCAAGTGTAACATTACAAAATGGTTGTCAGGAACCAGATCTGAACCCAGGACCTCTGCTGTAGCTGGCAGTGGGTCTACCTGCTGAGCCACCTTGGATAGCTCCTTGTCTGAACTCCTGTGTAATCCTCAGTTATACCTAATCTCTGCTGAACTCTGAACTCCTATGCTATGTCCTCCCTTGAACTTCCTATTTAAGCCATGCCTCTGCACTTCCTGTTTGCCAGATTACTGTGCTCCTGCCATTATCTTGCTTCCTGATTTTTTTTTTAAATCAGCCATAGCTTGAGTAGAAAAACCTGTCCCCTGCCAGCACGGCCCTCGCGTTCTGTGCGGAAGCAGTGGTATCTCTGCAAAGGTATGATATGCCCCCTACCGAGTCAGAGCTAGATCTCTCCAATCAACAGTGAGCATAAGCAATGCTGATTGCAGAGCTATAGGTTTGACTCAGCTCATGGGGGCAAGTTCGACTTCTGCAGAGGGACCACTGCTTATGCACAGAGTACAAGGGTCCTTTCCCCCACTTCTTTTCACTAAACTGTCTATAACCATTTAAATGCAAGACTGTATAGGCTAAGAAAACATATATAAATGCATAGGAAATGGCATACATTTATTTAAAGCACACGGAGATGAATCAACAAAACCCTTTCTTCTAACTCCATCATAGTTGTACATGCTAAAAACACTCTGATGTAAATAACCTCTTACACCCACATACATATTTCTTGTACAAATAAGGTTAATCATCATTTACCATTTAACATATGATTGTTACACTGTTCTCTTTCTTATTACTAAGACATCTATTTTTCCTAAATGAACATATCATATGATTCCTACATCACTTTATTTACAGCAACAGAAACTCCAAAGCCTGACCTAGACACTATTACTAGGGATGCACTGATACCCTTTTTTCCAGACCAAGTACAATTACCCATATTTTTTTTAGTGTCATGTGACAGTTTTTCTAAAATAATACAGACTAATGATTTTATGATAGTAGTGGATCGCCAGGGCTTGGTCGCAGCTGCGACCTCTGTGACTGCTGCGACCCTGGTAGTTCTGCTACTGACTCCAAGAGGGACTACAAATCTCAGCAATACATTATAAAGCAATGCAGAATACCACCAGCTATAGGGGAGTACATATTTCAACAATACATTATACATTAATGCAGAAAAGCATAGTCTATAGAGGACTACAAATCTCAGCAATACTATATACAGCAATGTAGAATACCATCAGCTATAGAGGACTACAAATCCCAGCAATACAATAAACAGTAATGCAGAATGGCACCAGCTATAGAGAATTACAAATCCCAGCAATATATTACAGTATAGAGCAATGCAGAATAATACCATCAGCTATAAAGGACTACAAATCCCAGCAATACATTATACAGTAATACAGAATAATACCACCAGCTATAGAGGACTACAAATCCCAGCAATACATTATACAGCCATGCAGAATAATAGTATATGAATTTGCTATATACTCTGTACTGCCGCTTTGCTCTGGGGTGCTGGCCTGATGTCTAGGGCGAAGGGTCCTCAGAAGAGGTGCAGAGGGTCTCAGGAGGGGTGTGGAGAGTCTCAGGAAGGGTGCGGAGGGTCTCAGGAGGGGTGTGCAGGGTCTCAGGAGTGGGAGATGTGCGGGCTGCGGAAGCGCTGTAAACAGGTGCCATGTGGTTCCCAAGAAGGTTGCCGCAAGGTCCCCAGCAAGCACAGAACCTAAAACAGGCGCTCTACTTTGACATTTTAGCACAGGTAACAGCTTTTGGTATTAAGGCATTTTCATGAGTACGAGTATTTGTGAAAATGCCCAGTACCGGCACCAATACAGATGCTGGTATCAGTTTTGCTTAGAAGCATGGTGCTATCTAGTATCTGAAGAGTATCTTTAAATATATACAACACTCTATATACAACCTAAGGACTAACCAGGACCCTCAATAAACATCTGTAACTCTGGTTTCAGTCAAGACAAGCAAATTCACCTGTCCAGAGGCATATTTACCGCGAGGCAAACAAGGCATTTTTTGCCCCCCTGCAAAGAGGAAAGCTGGGGACGAACAAGGCGCCGGGCGCACAAGATCAAGCAGCGTCGGTTGCCTTAACAGGTGGCTGCTAACGGGGCCTGGCAGTGAGCTGGCGGGTGTATGAGGAGGCGTGGCCGGGGCCGAGGGAGAAGCAGCCCGGCTGTCGGAGGCTCCGGTGCCGCTCCAAGAAGATTCGGCGGCTGCAGAAAGACGCGGACCTGGGCCGGTGGAGGCTGAAGATGGGATGACGGCTCCAAGAAGCATCGCGGCTGCAGATGGGATGGGACCGAGATAGACACGGCCCCGGTCGGCGGAAGCTGCGGGCAGCTCAAGTAAGATGCAGGCTGGAAGCAAGATGCAGAATGGAAGCAGGCTGGGGAGCTGCAGGTAAGAAGAGCAGCATGTGTGCTGGGAAAGGGAAAGGGATCCTCCACAGCCCATAATAGATCATGCACAGTCCACCTTAAAGTCTCTGTGCAAGGTCTATGGTGGGCTCTGGGGGGTCTCTGGTGGGGTTTGCAGGAACTCAGATGGGCACTGCAAGGTCAATGGTAGTCTCGGCTTGACATCCTGCAGTGCCCACCAGAGATCCTTTACAGCCCACTTGAGACCCCGGCTTCCCTGCAACACTAAGGCCTCATTCACACTGCTTAAGGCTGTGACACACTGCACGAGAAGCAGCGTGGAGCGGTGGCGCGCTGTCTTCGCGAGCAGTGTGTCATGTAATTTTCTCCTCGGCACCTCAGCTTGCGAGAGCTCGCCTAGCTGAGCGTGCCGAGATGAAATATTTCATCTTCAGCCAATCGGCTCGCGTGTATAAATCGGCGTGTGGCGATGCAACGTCTGGCTGGTTGTTATGCAGGAGCCGATTGGCTGAAGGTGCAGTCAATCATGTGCCTGCACTCAGCTCACACACAGCACGCAAAGCTCCGTGCCGGACAGCTTTGCTTCGCTCTGCACGGCTTTGCGTGCAGTGCGTCACGGCCTTCAGATTTGGCCCATAAACATCCGTGCTGGTGCGGGTGTCCATGCTCGGACGCAGATAGGATCCATCCTGTCTGTGTACGAGTACGGACATCCACACGGACGTGCAGTTCAGGTGAGCGTACAGCTGCGTTCTCCCATAGAGAAGAACAGGCTGCTGCGTACAAATCACACGCAGCACCTGTCCTTCCCGGGAACGGCCCTATACGGCCGAGCACGTCCCACGGATCTGTACGAGCCGACTCTTAGCAGTGCGAATAAGGCCTAATAGCGCAATCTGTCAGACGCTGTATCCAGCGACTTGAAAGAATACGCAAAATGTCTTGTTAGATGGGGGGGGTGCCGAGTTTCGTTTTGCCTAGGGCAGCACGAAACCTAAATACACCACTGAATATATCAGTACCCAATGCAGAAGATAACTGTGTGCAAAGTAGGGAAATTGTGGCACTCCAAAAAATGAGTGTAAATCCTTTATTTTCACCATTCGGCATCCAGAAACATCCTAGACCAGTGGGCCCACCTGGAGCAGCACTTTGCTACAGCAGAAGATAGTTGTTATCTTTTTGAACACCTAAGACAATTACATAGAATCAAAAAAGGTGATCAAAGACCACAAGGTATAATTACCAGTGGGAATTGTTGCCTTCACTTTAGTCATATTAGTTTAGGCCATTTAGTCATATATGTAAACATGGTCCTTCCATTGAATTCTATAGACATTAGAACCAATATTTAGCCCATTTCTAATTCCACCCTTGCCCCAACACCCCCTCTTTATCTCCCTGGAGCCATCAGCTGGTAACAGGTCAATGCAGGCAGTTGTATTTTGGAGATACCCAGAGGAATTGGATAATATCACATTAACCTAGTTTAGAGACATTATCCATGAATATTAATAAATAATGCAGGACACCCAGACACTGTTTTTACACAGGACAGTTTGGTACTAAACACAAGTGGAGCTGAGCTGCAATGAACACGGTGTACAATTAGATGTGTCTTCTCCCCTGAAAGGCCTGGTGTGTCTGGGAGAGCTGGGTGCCTAGTATGTACATATGTGCCATATGACGAGGAGACACACGCATCATTCGTCTTCTTTTCAAGCCTAAAGACTCATTCAGTTTGTGCTGAGCAGTCGACTGATCCATTTCTCAGGACGGGGGGGGGGGCGGAATGTTTTATTTCACGGCCTGTCTGATTCCATCATCTCAGATTCTGGATTTCACCCTGCGTGTGAGAAATAAATGAGGTCGGGGCAGTCGGGAGGTGCAGTGGGCGTCTCAAGCTGATTCCCTGGATGTTAGTGTGTAGGTTGGTCTCAGGGACCCCCCCGCGCTCCGCACAGTGCTGAGTCCCGGCCAGTCTGTAAGCTGTACAATCCGCTCAACTGCTCTAGGGAGAGATCTACGGAGAGAGATAACGGGGCTGCGCTATAGAGCGGTGATCGGGACCGGCTGACCGGGGAACACAGGGACAGCTGGCAGCTCCGGATCACAGCTGACCACGGGCACATCTAGACCATTCCAGTTGAGTGCGGCATTGGAAGATTACATCTTGATCCGAGGACAGGACACAGGGATAAGGTAACCCATAGGTATAGGTAGGCGCTTTGGATCTGCCTGCTTCCTTATTACTAATCCGCCAGGGGATTGATTAGAACACTTCTGACAATCGGCATACATGATCATTTTTATGTTTGCAGCGATCAGATCATGGATCTGCTGTATGTACATATATAGATGACAAGCCTCTCCCCAGCACCTGTCATCAGACCACTGACTACGATCCCCAGTCTTTAACTCACCTGGATCTCCCTATTTTATGGCTGTGCTACATTCTCTAGTCCCCAAATTGTGATCCCCCCCCCCGAGCAGATGTGTATATGTTATATAACATGAATTATGTAATATATAAATAAATAATATGTCATATCTGAATATGCATCTGTTAGAAAAATAGGATTGCAATTTTATTTTGTGCTGTAGGATTGCAATTTTATTTTGTGCTGAACATATGCCAAGCATCCTCTGTCTGCTGATGGCATGCCAGTATGTGTTCCATGTACATGTCTGCCACTTCATGTATTAAGAAGCATTTAACCATGCATGTGGAAATGTATGCAGCTCTATGGACGTAGGTGAATAGGCTTTTCCACTGCATGTAGGACACTGACAAGGGGATGAACAGAAATGGCATTTTAGAAATGATTTGGAGGCGGAGAGCAGGGGGGTAGATTTATTTATTTACTTTTTTAATGTAAGGGTTAATTGGTTAAATCTAGTGCTCAGTGTTTTGTTTAACCCTCACCCAGCATGAGTCATGACTGTAAGGTCTCCCCCAGGATCCCCCTTTCCCGAAAGGGTCACATCTGCTGAGTTTGGTGTCCAGAGATAGTCTGCACATGCCAGCTGTGCTGAACAGCTGCACCAGACCTTGGGATAATCCGAGATCAGCCAGCCGGTAATGAGTTCTCCATCACACACAGGGAGGAGGTGACATGCCTGTGTTCAACAGACCAGTATCTCAGGAGCAAAGGGCCCATGCCCTATATCATGGCCTTGTCGCCACATAGGAGATTGCTTTTTTCTTATTGTTGTATGTACAGTTTTAAAGTTTAGCATCCATGCATAAAACTCAGCAACCCTTTATTATTATTATTATACAGGTTTTATATAGCGGCATCAATTTGCGCAGCACTTTACAAAATATGAAAAAGGGTTTATTTTTGGTGAGTAAGAAGAGTCTTCTACTGTAAGAAACACTCCATAGTCATTGGCTTCCTTCCACATTCTTCCACATTCTTGATCACCAACGACAGGTAATTGGATTAAAGTTTCCTACTCACTTTTAATGCAATGCTAATGAGGGGTTTTCCCATTGGGGTCCCAGCTTTTGTTTTTGTTATGTGACATACCGTTGCCCTATATTGATACCTTAATGGATTCTCTATGTTCTGTTTCTTGTGGTCAGGAAATTTTAAAGAGAACCAGTCACAAATGGAAATATGCAAGAATCAGAATATTCATAATACTATGATGGGTTTATGCAAGAATCTAAATATTTACAATACTATGATAGATCTATAGTTGCTACCGTAAGGCCATGTCAGATGGCACATTCTGCTGTTGCCCACATATTACCAATGGCAGAATCGCCAAGAGGCAAGGCAACCATTTTCCCTAATGGAGCAACTCTGTTGCTGGCCCAGAGCATTGTAGAATGGCAGAAGCACTGCCTAGCCAGGGAGCAGCGGTGAAGCCATAACCAGCGATGGAGCAACTCCATAGGAAAAGGTAAGTGGTCTCTTAGTGATCCTATTACTAGCAAGTTGTTGCAAGCTTTAGGCTCACTCACCTGTCATAGCCCTAAATCAGCCCTACTTTTCTTGTCTAAGGATGGCTTACAGAGCTGGAAGGCAAGGCTAATGGACCTCCATGGAGTCTTAAATTAGCTCCCTTTTAATGTTCCTGACTTCATCCTAATGGCACAAACTGTCTCACTGACTCCTTAATATGGATATTGGTATCAAATGAGCCCTGTAGTTTAGAGTTCCTGGACCCTGTTATTTAATACTGCTATGCACACTCAGGAATCAGATCTCAGGAAGTCTCTCAGCTCCAAATGGTGTCCTCAAAAAAGTGGAGTGACATACATGTGAAAACATCTAAAAAAAATTTGACCGACACAACCCCTTTAGTGACTCAATCTGAAGTCCCTGGGTAACCACAAATACCAATAAATTACAGAATAACCTCTTTGTAGGACTCAACAGCGACATACACGCTGTTATGTAACCACAAATACCAATAAATCACAGAATAACCTCTTTGTAGGACTCAACAGCGACATACACACATTTATTCCTCTGCATAGTTATAGTAATTTCAGACGGAATATTTACATTTTTGCATAATCCCAATTGTAACTGGTCCTCTTTAAAGATACATTAAAGTGCAATTTCAGAATTAGGCCACAAAATGCATACAGAGCACACAACCTACTTGCCCAGAACTGTTTTTCTATTTAGGTGTTTTTGTGGTGCCTCTGCCTAACCCACCGCCGAAAATCATCTTGTTGTAGGTATTCACTATACCTAGGTGGATTTCCTTGCGTCTCTGGGTATTTGAGATCCAGGGGGGTCACAGAGCTTCATCGCAATGATGACAATATCACCCAGCATACTGTCTACTCTCATCCCTCTCTGCTTACCAAAGGTTCCTCAAGAAATCAGATCCTAGGAAAAGAAGAGCCATTATACTCGCCTCTCTGGTGGCCCATGTGTCCCATCTTCCCTTCATTCCAGCTTTGCAGCCTCTGTCAATGTCTTCAGCAGTAGGCTCTTGACACTCCCCAAAGTGTTTATTGTCAAAGACATTGATGGAGGCTGTAGTACTGAAATAGTGGGGAAGTAGGACACATGGGCTGCCAGAGAAGTAAGTATAATGGCTGGGACCTGATGGCTTGATTTTCTTTAGAGATCTCAGAGGGTCTCTAAAGTGTCGCCAACCAATTGGGTTAATGTAGCATCTAGAGAGAGAAGAATAACCCAATCATATAGAGTATTGTACACAGAAAATATGCACACCAGGGAATAACTAAAAGTTTCACGACCCTGGAGCAAAATCTAAACGGGAACCTCCTTGTATCTAACATGTATCGTATATGTATCGTATCAAATGTCTTTTGAGGGTCTACTAAAACACCCTGGCTGATAATAGAGGGCCTCATTAAATGCCTAGGCTGTTAATCGATGGTCTCATAAAATACCTTGGCTGATAATTGAGGGTCTCATTAAATGCATAGGCTGATAATTGAGGGTCTCAATAAGTGCCTAAGTTAATAATTTAAAATAAAACTGGGTTTCAATTTTTCTTCTCCATTAATTCTAACAAACCTTATAGAGGTTCAGATAGCAGCTCACAAAGAAAATATGCTGTGGGTGGATGAAAAATGCTTCAGCACACAATATTGCGTGAACACATCCCATGGGTTAATAAAGAGGAATATAGTTATGCATGGACTCACTGCATTATCCCAGGAAGAGTTGCCTCCTCTACCCCCTCCCCTGTAATTACAGCCTAGAATGATGCACACATTATCAGAGTCCATTAGGTGTTATTTTGTACATAATGCACTCAATTACTACAATTAACAGTTGCGGAGGCTGTTGGGGATTACTAAGAAGTGCTTACACATTTTTTTCATATAGATGTGCAAGTTAGAGTGTTTTCTGTTTATGTGTTTATATGAAACGCTAATTGATGTCACCTACTATTTTACATTTTTTTTTGACAGCATGGCAATTAAGTGCAGAATGACAAGTTAAAAAATGTTAACATGCCATTACTGCAGTTTAAGGAATATAGTTTGTCACTTAGCTTATTATATATTTATATGCACTGAAGTTGATTCACATCAAGAATTATTCCACTTCATTTGCGTGATAGTGTGATTATGTATGGAGTAAACATAATCACCTCAACAGATGTTCTGTGACAATCAGCTCTTGGATTGGTGGGTTAGAAACTATTGCACGTTCTACCAGTGGACACAGTGATAGCCAGGCTCTATTTAGCGAGATCCCAGATTTGTTTTTTTCTTGGACTCTAGCAGTCAATGCTTGAACCCTAACCAATGTGGTTTCTGATAAACTGTTTTATATATATGTCAGACTAGAGCTACCAAAAATAGATTCCAGAAAATTGTTTGGAATCTGTAGCATTTAGACAGTGGCTACGTTTTCTCATTTGCATTCAACACAGTGCGGACAAGCCCTTAAAGCGAATCTGGCAGTAGACATGTGCGATTTCGTTTCGTTACCAATCGAAATTCGTACAAATTTTCCTGAAATTCAGAAGCATCCAAAATCCGAATTGCAGTTTCCGAATTAAATACGAAATTCCGTTAACGAATTTCGGATCCGAATTTCTTTGAAACAGGAACTAATATTACCCCTGTAAATTAGACATGTGCGATTTTGTTTCTTTACGAATCGAAATTCGTACGAATTTTCCTGAAATTCGTAAATTCGGAAGCATCCGAATTGCAGTTTCCAAATTATATCCGAAATTCCGTTAACGAATTTCGGATCCGAATTTCTTTGAAACAGGAACTAATATTACCCCTGTAAATGAGGTTGAACAACATGACAAGATTTTTTTAAAAATCCGAAATACGGATCCGCTGCTGCTGAGGGTTGCATTACAATACACACAGGCAGGAAATATGAAATTCCGTTGACGGAATTTCGTTCCATTACGAACATTCGTTATATTGAAGTTAAAAAGCAAAGTACATTTATATTGGAGTTGATGGTAGTTTTTTTTAAATACGAAATTCGGATACAGAATCCGTTAACGGAATTCGTATTTCGTTTTGGTTGACCAATCAGAGGTTTTCTTTTCTGCTGCTGAGAGTTGCATTACAATACAGGCAGGAAATACGAAATTCCGTTGATGTATTTTCGTTCCGTTACGAACATTCGTTATATTGAAGTTAAAAAGCAAAGTACATTTATATTGGAGTTGATGGTAGTTTTTTTTTATCCGAAATACGAAATTCGGATACGGAATCCGTTAACGGA